AATTTGAGTTTAACACACATGGAAAGTATAGGGATTGACTAAAAAAAATGAAAATGGGATGAAACTATAATTTTTTTCAAAAAGGAACCATGTGGATGGCACAATTTCTTAACTTCAAATTTTGGATCTCCTTTTGGGCCCAATTAGCCCAATAATTATCCTAATCCAACCCTAAAGCTATCCAATACCCCAATATATCTGTGAGTAATCTAGAAAGCTAATTAACTTAATTAATTCATTATTTTACTAATTTAACCTTAATTATTTTATTAATCCTATATTAAAATTTGGGATGTTATAAATTATTGGTCTAGTACTCTAGTTATATGGGATGCCAAATAATATATTACAAGGTTTGGGTTGGGTTGGAGAAATATTGACCAATCTTTTTGTTTTTTATTTTTGGTTTATCCATGCATGTTTTTCTATTAGAGACAATCATGTTCAAGGCATTGTTTGACACTAACTGCAATACCCTAAATTTCTCATACATTTTTAACAACAATTTAAAAAAAGTAAAAATGTTTTCACCAATATTTCCAATATATTTTTTCCAAAAGTTTGTTAAAAAAAAAAGGAGTATTCTAGTAAAAATCTCAATTGGACTTAAGACATTTGAAGCCCATCAAACAATCCACAACAAGCCCAATAGTCATGCAACAAATAAGACTTAAACTAAACTCTAATTTAAACAATTAATACTATCAAATGGATTGTGGTCAAATTATAATAGTCTACAGTTCAATAATCTATTTTAAATATCAAATTTTATAATATTTTCTTAAAGAACACTCCTTGAAAGGAACTTTATAAATACTTAATTACCCAAAACATTTTAATTGTAAAAATTATAGTCTCAAGTCATGGCAACAAAATAATAAAACAACAATCACATGTGCTAAACTAAATAGAACAAGGATCTAAAACTCAATGTTTTGGTGCCTTCCCCATAACTTTAACAGATAGCTTACCTAAAAATAATAATAGGTAACATGTGAGATCTAATGTCACAGTAATAATTAGTTATTTTAACTTATTTCAGCAAGGTAATGCCAATTTTTGTCATTTAAAACAATTCACATCAAATAATAATTTAATCAAGTGATGTTTATCCCAACTATACCCTTGTGTCCACCTTTTGCATTTTATCACCGTTAGCTAGAGCCTAAACTATGAATACATACAGTCAAAGGTGCATGGCTAGTAAAGTGGGACTCCCCTCCTTAAAAAGAGGCACCCATCATCCCAAAACTCAAAATTGGGTAACATGTGTAATACTTCAAGAGAAGAAATTTAGGTGATAACCATAATTCTAAAGGTTAAGAGAGTTGAGTTGAGGTTTGAGTGTCCTTAAACTAAGGTAATGACTTTAGGTTTAGACATGCATTAAGTGGGATAGAGTTGTGATGCTTGCCTAGATGAGTGGGTTATCTCAGTGCGGTGAGAATAAAAGTACTCACCAAGGCAAGTTATATATCTCATTAAGGCAAGCAATGCGTTTCGTAAAATTATAAATAGACATCCTAACCAAAAAATAGAAGCATGACTCATTTTAAAACTTTTAGAAAGCATGATTCTCAGCAGAGCTGTGCTAAGGTTAGTTTCTAATGATTTAAGGAGCCTTGTTTGAGTCAGATTTTGCCAAGGTAAGTTGTAATAGTACCCCAGACCTTTGCTCTGGCGACATTGGACCACTCCACACCCACGATAACAAAAGCCAGCTTTTTCCTAATACATGGGTTATTCCCACACAAGGAGAACCTCCCCAGGAATCGAGCCCACAACCTCTCCTACCTTAATGAGGTTGTGGCCAGATCTAGTACTTGTATGTGAGAGATTAAGACTTGATATTTTAATTATTGTCAAAAGGTAATTTTCCTAAGCATTAATCACTTTACAATAACTAGCTTGCTTGAAAAGGTGAAAGTAATATATACTAATTTCATATGTCAACAAACATGCTAGACATGTTAAGTATATTTTTAAAATAGAATAGTCAATAAGCCCTTAGTGGCCACAACAATATTCCCACGAAAATTATATGTATGTATAATAATAAAAAAAACAAATATCTCAATATAAAAAAGAATAATCCAATATTTTGTCTTTTCCATGCTTAAAAATAATCGCAAGTGCGCACGAAATCAACACTGGTAATCAACAATTAATCTACAATATATATAACAACATTACACATTAATACAACTCTAATCAATGCATTAATAATCCATTATAATATTATAAAGTCTATCACTTTACCCATTAGACTGAAACATTACTTTAATCCTACTTCTACCAATTCCCAACCAAAAAGTCGTTCAAGTCATTCCCTTAAAAAACCTCCATACCCATGTTCAAATCTTTCCAACACTTAAATATTTTAATTTCCGGCTCAATATTAATTCTCCCAAATCACAAGCTTATTGTCTTAACGACATGTTAGAACATTCAAATCCACATTTTACTTCTAGTAATCATTTCTAGACTATAAGATCATAATTTAACCAATAAAAACCTTTGCAATCATCAAATTCTCAATCATTCTTTTAGAATTTCAATTCAAACATACCAAATAAATTTTACAAATTTCATACACCTAGTAATCCTTTATTCATTTTCAAAAACAATAGAAAAGCTTACAAATTATAATTTCCACAATTAAATAAAAAGTCTCTTTTCATAATAAAATTTTGAATCCTCGATGAAAATTCAAATCAAGCCCAATTGCTGTAAAAATTTGAACATAAATCATTATTACCCAAAGTTGTTAATTGAAATGAGTTCGTAACTAAAGAATGTTCAAATTACTCAAATTAAAAATACCTAAAAATTCACATTAATTCATCCAAAATTAGCAACACTCAAATTTGTGATTCAACCTCTAATCAATTTTTAACAAATATTTCTAAGTTACCCATAATTAATTATCTAAGTTTCAAGTAATAATTAACCTAAAAATTGAAATCACTCTTTTTACACATAGAACTCAATCTCAACATACCCATATACAAAAATTTAGCCTTATTTAACAAACTAAACTGATTAAATTTAAATAATCACTTACTTTAACAATCATACGGTTCTCGATTGGTAAAACTTAATACTTGCTTCAAACTCTAAACTTTAAACTTGATCACGCTCAGGATTTATACCGTTAAAAAGCTCTCATCGCGTGTGATAATTTTTATGAAGGGATTTTTATGATTTGGAGCGGTTACAAGTACGAAATGAAGCATAGAAGATCTTGAAAACTCCATTAGTGAAAAGATGAAAGCTGTCACGCACGCTGGAAGATCGAGGCCGCGGGAATAATAGAATTGAAATGGGGAGGGTGAAGGGGGCAATATAATAAGTGGTCCCACCGCTTTTTCAAAAAATTTTTTGGTAAGAAAACAAATTATTATTATTTTAATCTCATTTAACTATTTTTTTATTGTTATTATTACTACTATTATTATTACTATTATTTTTTTAAAAAATAATGACCGGTAATGTATATTTAAAATTTAACTCATTTTGGTAAATTTTTTTTTTAAATAATTATCTAATAAATTTCAATTACCATAAAATAATTCCATCAAATTCAAATTAATATTATTCGACATTTGCTACCTTCAATTTATCCAATAAATTCATTTCTAACCTCACTTTCAAAAGTAAAATGTTACACTAATCTCATGTTTGATTAGAGAAGAGGGGAGGGGAGCTTTGTTTGGATGCTCTCCCATTGTTTGGCAATACCATAGTGGAGGATTTTCGTCCCTTTCCTTTCAAACCATCCCCTCTAGGTTAGGGCCCCTCCAACCAAAATATGATCACTTTTTTTTTTTATAGGAATTTGAATATTAGTTTGTTAGGTTGTGAGGGATTAATTTTTTTCATTAGATGCAACTCTTGTGGATAAAAATTAATATTTTCTAATCAAACTAGATAACCTATCAGCCAAGTAAGCTAACTCTAATGGGTTATATTGACCATTTAACCCAGATTATTTGTTAAAATATAAAATAAATTGAAACAATGGAGGGAGTTTTGGCACTACAATGGTACAACATCATAAACTAAGCAGAGTTAGATTGAATCATAATGCCATATGTTTACAATGTGAATTTTTTTAATTGTATGGAATATGAATATCATATTAGAATTTATCATTTAAATGCATTTAAAAAAATTACACGATAAAAAAATAAATGGATAGCGGGTAGTATCATTTAACCTACCAACACATGAGAAATGAGATTTTTCCAGCCATATTTTTTTCAATTCATATGAACTATATGATTCATGATACCTCATATTTTCAACTATATTTAAATGTTAGACACAATAATTTATTTTCACTCTTAATTAAAAAATATAAGTAAGATGACAAAAATACTCCCATTCAAATTGGAGTTGGATATCCTCCTTCGTGAAAAAGGATACACTATAAATTTGGATCCTTAAATTAAATTTGATTATTTAAATTTAATAATTTCATCTAAATTTTTCCCCTCTCATATCCTTCCTTCCTCCTGCCAGCTGCCCCGTCCTTCAGCCGCCGCCATGCCGACTTTCATATCACGGCAAAAGAATATCCGTTCAAAAGTCATAATAAACAGATAATAAATTAAGTAAATGAAACTATATTTCAACGCCTGGAACAATCAAACAGCAATACTGGATGCAGCATGGCACAAGTCATTCACCGCCATTTCTCGTGATTTTACGCGCTAAACGTTTAGACAAGTATAAATTCAATTGAGGCAAAAATTTCATTACCCAAAAAAAAAAAAAAAACCTTGTAATAAGTTTCAATAACATAAGTAATAAAAAAATATTGGATCTGAATCATTTAAAAGAAGCGAGTTTGATTATTAGGAAAAGAACGAATGGATCAGCCTACAAAGGATCAACATCTGACCTTCCACATCAAGATGAAAAGTACATATCATTTTTTTTTTAAGAAATCATTTTTAACTAGCTAAATTATTTTCCTATACTCTATAACATAAAACTTAATACAAAAAGTCACTTATTTATCATGGGATAGTACAACTTGTTACAAATGTTATATTTGATATCAATAAAGAAGTTGATGATCATGATATTAATTGATACCAGAAGTAATGGATATTCTAATCCCAGACCCATTGCTGCACTTTGGCAAATTGCCAGTTTGACCGATGCAACTCAAACTGGCTCACGAGAAAGAGGAATCTCATCACATCATGCTCATTCTATTCCCAGCATTGAACTCACAAACAAACTATTCTGCCTTACTAATTTCTCTTAAGATAGCAAAACAAGCCTACACAAAGAGATCAGAACAGTTTCACTTCTTCAGCAGAAGAGGCCCAACATTATCCCCTGTGGCTTTGTTGTGCTTTACATGGCTTCCATCACACAGAGGGAACGTCCCAGATCTCCAACATCTGCACCAAAAACACCCACAATCATCATGATCCTCCAAACTTGAACCATATAATAAAGCCATTTGGATCCTCTGAAGCTAAAATGTTTATCTTTTTATGGAATGCACTTTCTTTTCTTTTTATCTTTCTAAGGTTCTCTACAAATCTTCTAACTCTAAAAGAACTCAAATTCAAATATAAGTTGCTTTAAGAGAATCAATGTCTATAATAGTATACTCTTTTACGCTTATGGCAGAAGTGTTGGAAATTTTGGTGTCAGCCCACATTAATTATTTTATTGATTCGCTAAACGGGTTTACTAGTGGTCCTGAAATATTAAAGCCCAGTCATGTTATGTGATCATATAGTTGATGGGCTAAACACACAATCAATATCTGATTAGCGGCTAAAATGTGGGTCAATGGGTCAAGGGTCATTAACCTTACTAAAACTTGTAGTGGATAGGCCTAGTAAGGATTACTAATTAGGTTAGAACCACCCCCCCACCCTAATTCAATGTGTGCTGTCCCACCAAAGGCGTGCATATCTCTAGAAGAGTATAAAGATGAAAACCCAGCTGACTAGCTCGACTACGGCAAAATCAAGTTAGTTTCTTATCACATACACTAGATCCCTATCAAGCACCGTTGCACAACTGTCTACCTTTCCAAAGTTCAAATTTATTTCATTTCTTGTCTCCTTAAATATCACAAACTATCCGACACGTGATACAGCTGCACAAATTTAAGTTATGGGAATGAAGAGAAAGTAGAAGCACACATATTGCAATATAATTATAGTGTAAGCTATATGGGGAAGGGGATGGGTTCCTTCATTGAATAGAAGCCTTGAGGTTTCAGAATGGCATGTCTCTCATAAACCTGCCACGTCAATTGTTTTCTATCTAACGTCTCAGATAATATTCTCTACCATTTTATTTAGGAAAAAAAGACTACAATACAGGCACAAAGTTACCACAAAGAAAGTTAATCATAGACGAACTGGTGGACACTATAGCATAGCTTAATAATAATAGCATGCACAAAGTTATAGGGATCTGTAAGCTATTGTTACTTGGTTTCTATAACTGTTTGACAAGCCAATCATACATTCATACCTAGTCTTACTATCCAGAGATCAAAGATCAAACACAATGTGAGTGACTTTACTTAGATCAATGTTGGCTATCCATAATGAAAAGCATATTTCATTTGCTAAACAATGTAAGATATTTTTAACTAAATCCCATCTTCTAATAAATTAGTCATTTCTCTTCAAACTAACACCATCTTTTTATATTTATTTTATTTAATAGAGTGTTTTACTCTAAAATAAATACAAAGTGGTTTATTTATAGGGGCACTTTTGAAAAAAACATAATGATTACATCTTAAAATACTAAAAATGTCTTACATTTTTAATATTCAATCTCTCAAAAAATGTCTTACATTTTGGGAGGGAGGGAGCACTTCATTTTGCCAGAATATGTGTCCAACAATATACTTGCATTACACTGTATCAAAGTGTGGTTTGCTTCAGCAGATAAACTATGACAAATGCGATTTTTCTCAAGGAACATGATGGAGTTGAGGGTAGGCAAATGCCCCTACTCGACTTGAAAAAATTTACATAAATTTTGAAATTTTCACCCCCACTGCCCCTATAATTTTGAACCAACTAAACCAAAGCTCATTTATATACATATACGAGCTCATTTTATATAATTTATGCCCTCCCTGACCTGGACACCTAAATTTTAAGCCATGGTACTTTGCAAATGCTGAGAATATGATGGAGAATGTTCATGACCGATCAAGCAGATCCTAATCTAATCACCAGGACCATGTAATTGCCATATACAAAGATATATCATGATAGAAGAAATCAGCTGGGCCTGCAGCTTGTGGAGACTGAATTTAGGACAAACTGTAGAATCAGCTCTATATCATGTTATGTTTTATTTACAATAACTTTCATAGAATAGTCAGTCAAAATCTGATTCCATAAAGAATATTCCGAGTACTGAAGCATAAATGAAAATATGAAATGAGCTGATACAGGTACTGATATTCATGCAGCTTGATAAACACTTCAGCTACTGTCAAACACTCTACAATTTGAACTGTGGCTATGAACTTCTCCAACTAGGTTATAGATTCCGCAAAGTTCTTTTTTCACTCTGATTGCATAGGGATTCAATTTTTTTTCCTTTTCAAAAAATTCTAGTAAAGTTCCTCAATTCCCATAAAAAAAATTCTCCACATGTTTCCCAACCATATAATAAAAAAAAAATGATCATCTATGTCATGAAATCCTGATGATTCTCCAACGAACAAAAAAGTGGGGAAATATATCCACTGATGGCTTGAAATTCACCAAAAAAGAAAAAAAAAGAAATCAAAAGAAAGGAAGAAAAGTGGACCTGCAATAAGCAGTGAGGGGCTTGGCGAGCTCAGTGACGACCACAGAATCCACCACTTTCTCTTCGCTCTTCCTGATATCTGGGTTGATTCCTACAACTTCGGCTTTCACCAAAACGATGCGTTTAGGTGTGCCACCATGAACGCCAGCAAATGAGCAAGAATTGGAAAGGGCAGCCGCAATTCCTCTCTTGGATGAAGCTGTGGTGTGGCAGAAGAAGCCTGAACCAACTGGGCTTAGAACCGACTCCATTGGGGTCTCTCTCTCTCTCTCTCTCTCTCTCTGAACACTTGCGGCGTGGATGGGAGATAAAAGAGCGAGATTGGATTGTGAGTGTTGCTGGACCTGTGGAAAGCACACGCTCCATGAAGATGAGATATCGGAGAGGATGAACGCTCAGCGTGACACGTCACAACATCCTTTTTCTGTGGGTAGGTTGTGATTTGTGAGTCAATGATAGGTTGGTGAGCATTGAATTTTCAAAGTTTCCTTCCAATTTTTGTTCAAGTTAACAATAAGAGGGAATATTTTTTAACAATTTAAATTGGTAAAAAATGAACTCTAACAATTTTTTAAAAAGAATTATAAACATTAATTTAAATAATTATATAGTAAAAGTTTATTTACAAATTGAGAGTTATATTTAACATTTGAATATTTTTTATAATTAAAACTCTAAATTTTTAACTATTTAAATTTCTATTTGTAATTTATTTTTAAGAATTTTTCAGCATCTGATTTATTTATTTCTTTTAAGCCAGAAAAGACTTCCCTTAGAACGGAAACAAGCGCACCTAGAAATTAGAAAAGGTCGGAAACAAACAAAAGAAACCAAAAGCAACATCGATCAACCAATTCCGTCCCAAGGAGTGACAGCAACGCTTGACTTCGCTGAATGGCCGTGGGAGTATTAGCACTCAATTCCGAGGACACATTTTTTTCGTAACATGTTTGGATTAAAAAGAATTTAAATTTGGACTAAATTTTTTATTTAAATATATATAAAATTATAAATTTAGATTTAAACTAATTTAGATTTTGTTTAAATTTAAATTCATTTTATATTATAATTTTTTATAATTTAAATTTTTTTATATTCTAACCATTTGAAATTTTAATTATTTTATAATTTTTGTATCTTTTCTTATTTTATGTTGATTAAAAAATAAAAATAAAATCATTATTTTTAATTTTTTTGTTTTGAATTTGAGTTCATCTATCCTGTTGATTTGAATTTTTTAAAACAAGCTAAATAAAAAATTTTAAATACATAATTTTAAATATTAATTTTGAAATGCAAGATTTTAAATCTAAAACTCAAATTTAAATCTATCAATCCAACATTACCTTGAAGCTTTTACTACAATCCAATCTGCAACTTTATTCTATGCTCTAGAAATCAAGAGAAACCGCTACATTGTTGCATCTATCTAGCATTGCTATTGGTAAATGTTATAACTTAAAATCAATCATTACAGGTAAACGAAAAAAAAATCATAACAAACCCCAAGTCTATTTAATTTGGTGCATTGAATGAAAAATCAAACTAAATTAACTAGTTCAATCAGTGAAATGGTGAATTGGCTAACTAACCAATCTAATTCATAAAATAAATCAGTGTATTGTTAATTCAGTCTAACCAACTAACTCAAGGGCAACCCGAGTATAACTTGCCGGGTTGGCCGGGTTATATTTTTATTTGCCTTGTTGATGTTTTATGCCTCTTACTAGACCTCTCCCTTTTCATTTTGCTGTTACTGTGCTCGCTGTTGCTTGTCTCCGCGCACGCTGCTGCTCATCTCTGTGTCTTTGTCTGATTGCTTGCTATCGCCGTTGAGTTTCTATCCAAGAACTCGTTTAACTTGGAGAAGCTGTTAGGGTCTGTTTGGTTCGAGGAGAGGGGAGGGAGGGGAGGGGAGGGGAGGGGAGGGGAAATTTTAAAAATTTCCCCTCCCCTCCCCTCCCCCCCAACCAAACGGAGCCTTAAGGTTTTGTTGCGGATGGTAGGCGGATTAATTTGCATGATTTGGATATTATGTAATAGTGGAAGAGAATGGGAGAAAGATGGAGACTGAGGTCACATGTTTTTTAGAGAACTATGAGCAAATGAACGATGAAAAAGAAGTGAGACTACTAACTCGTAAGCTAGTGTCTTGATTGATTCAATGATCGACTTAATTTTTAATACTTTGATTTTGTGTAAGCTGTGAATTATAAAATAATATCTAAAAAAAATTCAATTTTAACTTTCTTCAAACTTAATTTTTACAACTCATTTATTGCTCCTCATGCTAGTGCAAGAGTTAAGGTCTAGTTGTGTTTTGAAGGGTTAGATTATTTATGATTTATTAAAAGCGTTGTGACTTTATGTCTTTGATTAATTTATTACTTTATCAATGGGCTGCAATATATCAAAAATCATTTCACTGTAACTTCGAGATGCATGCAAACTAAATGAATTCGATTTTTATGTAAGTATTATATATTATATACTAAAAATACATAAATATTTGGCAAATAAATAACTTTTGGGATGCCTCATGCATGCCAATGAACATGGCACAATCACCTCTAATGCGGGCATCTTTGGTACATGTGAAAGAAAACAACATCCGAAGGAAAGTTGAAAGCACGAGACAAATGAATTGTCTTGATGTCAGTGACACGCACCTACGTGAAGCAAACAGGATTCTTACAGAACTTTGGCTTACAGTGAATCATTCTATTTTATTTATCTAATCTAATTTTCCACACCAACCAGTCACAAGGAAGACAACTCCATCACATTCCAATTAAATAATAAAGTTTTTCCAAATGTTGTACTTAAACATCCAATCCAATCCAAAATATGTATAAAATGTTAACAAATTAAGCCAATGCCATGAAATAAAAATTATTCAGAAGGAGTAACTAGACCAACCACCATAATACTAAAAAAGGTTCACTTTCCTTCCTCTTCAAGTCACACGTCCGGTGGAAATGGAAAACTACAGAACTTGAAAGTACCAAAAAGTCCCCAAGCTTCCTCTGATTGTACCTCCCGGGCCCGAAACCTTTTTGTAATTTCGCCCTAATTGTTTTGATGTTTTCCCTTTCTCCCGAGATCATTCTCTGCTGTATCACATCCCGCCCTTAAGTAATCAAAACTGCAAATCGCGTAACGACCTTCCGAAATAATACTCCTTGAAGCTTCAAAGATCGAATCTTCGCTTCAAGTGTTTCCTTTTCTGAATCCCTCTCTGTTGATTTCTAGTCTTAGCTTTTCAACGATTCAGTTGATTTGAATTGCATTTTCTGAAAAACAAAACCCATACTTGCATTGAACTTGATGGCAGTTGTAGTCCCCAAGAAATGGGGGATGTTGGGATTCTGGTGCTGTGTTTTGTCCATCGCGATTTGCGCAAGGGTTTGTGCTCCCGCCAGATCGGAGAAGGAAGTACGAGAAAGGTTCTACGGGAGTATGCCGAACTCGTCTTCATCGGATCCTGGTGATGCTAGCTTGGCTAAAATGTTCGATCGTGTCCTTGAGAAAGAATTTTCCGAGAATGAACAGCCTGAAGGTTTTTATTTACTCTTCTAACGTTGCTATTTTGTTTTATTTAATTTTGAACGATCTTAGATGAGTTGGTCCTGGAGCTATTTCATTTTTTGGCTTCTTGTTTCTCCCTTTTACTTTTTTTGCGAGCTGCTTTTTGTTTTTCTATTGCCTGCTTTGTTCAGGAGAATAGAGCACAAAAGTAGTTGAATTTTCTGCAACTTTTTTTTATTAAATCATGTAAAAAATAATTGTATGCATGATCTCTTTGCTCTTAATGGAAAATCAGAGTGCCAGGGTGAAATTTCCTAATGTAGGGTGTGGTTTATTCGGTTGTGTCGAATAAAATTTTGTTGGCATAGAAAGGGCAACTTTGTCTATCTTTAAAGTACTCAACTAATCAGCTAGCGGAAGTAACTATGCATTTCAACTTGGAAAATATTTGCCTTATTAGAAGAGGGTGTTCCCACAGGTGGAATTTGATATGGTGCATGTAAGTGCCTCCTGAGTAGCATGGTTTAGGTAGTTCCACACTTGACCATAGCATCTAGATTTGCTACATGTTCTTGGACGATTGACATGGTTGGGATGTTAGTGAAAGCTGCTTTTTGGATTTTTTTTAATTTTCTTATTTTTCTCTTCTAAGCTAAGTGTGGCAGGATGTGTGGTTAAATGAACATCTCTCATTGCTAAATGTCATGAAAACTTACAGGGGTTGTGCTGGATTGTCAATTTTACTTCCTCAAAATTACTTGTTTTATGCTTGTACCAGTGGGTATTTGTTAGGTGGTGAATTGTAGCATTACCTTATGTTTTGGTAATAAATGATTTGATAACATTGCCCTCTATATACTATGTTTAAGTTTATTTCTCATTCCTGACTCATCTAATTTTCACGGTTGATGGTTCACTGTGCATAACATAAATCATGTATTCATGTAGCTCATAGGTTTGTTTAAAGCATTGTGAATGGATTTTAATTATTCTCTTCCATCTTTACTAGGTTCTGATAAGAATAGCTTCAACAGTTCTGTAGCTGATCAACAGGTACCCTGTTTTTTGTGTGCACAGTTTGCACAAATCTTTTGTGCTGTAAATTCTTGCTGTTATAGATTTTAGAAGAAAAATGTATTTTATTATGCAGAAAAATGCTTTCATTATGCCAGTTCATTTAATTATAAACCCCCACAAAAAACTTGCAAAAATAAATGTTAGGAGGGACGACACTATCTCTGATAGTCGAGCTATGTTATTGTTTATGTAAATGTGAGTTATAGACATTTTGGTCATATTTTTCAGGCTGTACTGGAGACTGTAGCTAAAATTACTCATGATAAAGGCAAGAGAAATGATACTCAGGAGGGAAAGTATGACATGTTAATGATAAACTAACCACCTATAATGGGTGATTAGATTTATTTATTTATTTTAATTATCAGAAGGCCTTTTGTCTTTTATATTGAATTCCCCCCCCTTTATCAGTGGTACCAGATCATTTCAATTTCAAGATGTGTTCTCCCTGGAGAATGAAGATTCTGATGATTCAACAACCTTGATTGACAGAAAGGTGTTTCAACTTGTGATGCAAAGCCTTGGTTGGTTGTACATTATGCTTTTAAAATATTGGTTTTCATCCAACTCATTTATTTGTTTATCCTACTGCATGGCAGGACAATGTTTTTGTGATGTCAAACAAGAAATCCAAATATCCAATACTTCAGTTGGATTTAAGGTTGACATTTATTATGACTTCTTTTCTTGTAATTTATTTTCGATAATTTGTTTTATCTGCCTGATTAGACTCGTTTCAGTATAAT